AGGACTGTGCTGCTGGGTTAGGGGCAACTGCAGAGCCATTCTTCGTCAGTGTGAAGGATGCAGTCGCATCCCCCATTGACCAGATGCTGACTACTCAGAAAAGAACATTACCTAGTGCTAATACTTACTGTCAGATGGACTTGCCGCAGAGAGTGGAGGGCCCCAGCACCTAAAGCTGGCAGGGAGTGTCACTGTGTTAGAGGCTGTGAGAAGAATCACAGGTGGCCACATAATACAGAGATGCATAAGTTGGTTGAAGATTACTGCAAGAGGGCATGGCCATCCAAGCCTCCGCAGTGAGATTTGGGAAGAATCAAGGAAGTGTTCTGGAGAGAAATGCCGTCTTTTTCAGCATTTGCCAAGTACAGAGAGAGCTGTTCAAGGAAGACTTCTTAGCCATCTCTAACCCCTCCTTTACCGTAGCTCTGGCCTCAAAGGGTCAGAAAGTGGCTAGCAAGCTACTTGGTTGTATTAGTCAGGATTCTTCAGAGAAATGGAACAGATAGGGTGTGTGTGTGTGTGTGTGTGTGTGTAGACAGAGGTGATAGAGATAAAATATCTTGATATCAAAATATTTATTTTAAGGAATTGGCTTATACAGTTGTGGGACCTGGCAAGTCCAAAATCTGCAGGGTTGGTTGGCCGGCTGATACTCCAGGAAAGAGTTGTGGTTGGAGGAGTCTGAAGGCAGTCTGCAATCAAAATTCCTTCTTGCTCAGAGGAGGCAGTCTTTGTTTCGTTAAGGCCTTCAACTGAGTGGATGAGGCGTCTTCACATTATAGAGGACAATCTGCTTTACTTGAAATGTGCTGATTTAAATATTAATCTCATCTAATGCTAGAGAGGGTATGGAGAAAGGGGAACCCTCCTACACTGTTGCTGGGAATGTAATTTGGTGCAGCCATTATGGAAACAGTATAGAGATTCTTTAAAAACTGAAAACAGACTTACCAAATGATCCAGCAACTCTACTCCTAGGCACATATCCAGGGAAGACTCCAATTTGAAAAGATACATGCACCCCAGTGTTCACAGCAGCACTATTTACAGTAGCCAAGACGTGGAAGCAACCTAAATGTTCATTGATAGATGATTGGATAAAGAAGTTGTGAGATGGAATATTACGCAGCCATAAAAAGAATGAAATAATGCCATTTGCAGCAACATGGATGGACCTAGAGATTATCATCCTAAGTGAAGTAAGTCAGAAAGACAAATACCATACATTATCACTTATATGTGGAATTTAAAAAATGACACAAATGAACTTATTTACAAAATAGAAACAGACTCATAGACATAGGAAACAAACTTATGGTTATTAAAGGGGAAAGGTGGGGGAGGGATAAATTAGGAGTTTGGGATTTAAAGATACAAACGACTATATATAAAATAGATAAACAGCAAGGCCCTACTGTATAGCACAGGGAACTACATTCAATATCTTGTAATAACCTATAATGAAAAAGAATATATATATGGTATATATATACATTATATACATATATAACTGAATCACTGTGCTGTACACCAGAAACTGACACAACATTGTAAGTCAACTATGCTTCAATAAAAAAATTAATCTCATCTAAAACATTTTAAAAGGATAGTGAGATACCAAAAAAGAATAAAACAAGTCTTTTGATTACTCCATAATTATTCATGCATAATATACCAGTTACAAATGCCTGGTACCTAGTAAATA